GGGGGGGGGGGGGGTAGGAGGGTAGGAATAGGGCGATGAAGGGGGATGGGGGGGTAGGGATGGGGGCGATAGGCGTGATGAAGGGAGGGAGGGAGGGAGGGAGGGAGGGACTTTGTTGCTGGTCTTGGTCGAACAGCGGGAGAGGCTGCAAAGGAGAAAAGGACCAAGGTGACGAGCACAGACGATTATTGATGTTGATGATGATTATTGATGATGATGATGATAGCTTGTTATATGTCTGCTTTGGGTAGAGGGGGAGGGAGGGGGGGGGGGGGGGAGTGTAGCTGCGGGAGCGGGTGGCTTGCAACATGCGACTTCACCTCCATCACCATGGCTGGCAAGATGTGGTGGTGGCTGCATGAGTTTGGGTTTGTCATGACCGAAACGAGCGTGTGCCAAAGCCAGCACGCAACGGCAAAGCAGAGCAAAGAGTCAGAACAGGGAGGGACGGGAAGGGGAGGGGGATACACGTGTCGTGGTGAAGGACAGTCTCTGTTTGCGGGAAGCGCATGGAGGCGGCGGAGGCCGAGTCGGCCGTGCCGGACAATGATAGGGTAGGTAGGGGAGGGGGGGGAGGGGGAGGGGGGAAGGGGAGGGGGGGGGAGGGGAGGGGGTAGGCGTGCTGGGAAGGAAGCTGGACGTGGGCGCGAGGGGGCTGGGGCTAGGAGGAGGGGAGGGGAGGGGAGGAGGCTGGGGGGAATGGGGGTGACTCATGGGGAATGGGTGGTTATTATGGGCTGATGGGTATGGGTGGGTATGTGGGGTGTATGGGCTGGACTGGGCTGGGCTGGGCTGGGGGTACAGATGCTTGTGTATGTGGGCGAGTGGACGGAAGAGGCCGAGACCATCGAGATGTCGGGCATGATGACCAAGAGCTCGGGCAAGACAAAGGTCAAGGGCTTTGATAAGCGGTACTTTATGCTCACTCGGGCAGCGCTGTCGTATTGGAAGAACGAGCAGGCGTACATCAAGGCGCCAAGCAAGAAGATGAAGGGCAGGATCGAGCTTGGCTCGGTGTGCGAGCTCAAGCGAAGGTCGGCCCATCCCAAGCTGAAGAAGCCGCTCCTGGCGCTGGAGCCGTTTGAACTCCACACTGACGCCGAAGCTGATGATGTTGACGCCGGCGGTACCGACAACAATGGCGGCGGAAGTGGCAGCGCGGTGCCCGGCCCAGCGAGAGTCTACGTGCTGTGCGGCGAGTCTGCTGAGGACTCGGCGCGGTGGTTCGAGGCGATTCGGCTGGCCTGGCTCCGCCATCCCAAGACGATGGTGCGGTTCTCGGTCATACCGCCGGGGCTCCCGCCGGCCAAGCCGCAGGCGCCAGAGAACAAGCCTAATGCGTTTGAGGCGCGGGTGACCGAGACCGAGGTTGTGCGGCAGCGGGTAGGCGCTCCAGGCAAGTTGACCGTCCTGACCGTCTCGCAGGCCGGGCAAGTTTTTGCCGGATTCGACGACGATGCCGGGCTCTTTGAGTGGTCGCCCCGCAAGTTTGCTTTCGAAGCCGTCGACGGTGGAAGTGGGCGGGTGACCGCACTCGCGCATGGCCGCGCCGATGATAGCGTTCTCTGGGCCAGCTTTGGCGCGACCAGTGAGAGCTCGGCGTCAGTCCGGCGGTTCTCGATTCCGTCGTGCGAGTCGGGCCTTGCGCCGTTCTGCGACGCAAGCGTCGAGCTTGGGCTCCCGCCAGGGGTGACTGTCGAGTGGCTCCGGTTCTCAGAGGCCGAGAGCTGCGTGGTGGCGTACGGCAGCGACAGCAGCCTCACCTTTGTGTCAAGCCTCACCAACTCTGTTGCCGGACGGGTGACGCTCGAAGCACCGCTGGCGGCGGCTGTGCTTGCGAGCGAGGGATCCAAGCTTGTGGGGGCGTATGCCGGTGGCGTCTCGCGCGGTGCGCTCCAGGTCTGGCGTTGTGCGCCCGAATTTGGCGAGCACGTTGCTGAGCTGAGCGGGGCCCATGCGGCAGACGCGAGTTTTGCCGGGCAGGCGGCACTATGTGCGGTAGGGCAGGGCAGGGTCCTATCAGTTGGCTCGGACGGGGTGATTGCGCTGTGGAATGCAGCCGAGTGCGTGCTCGAGGCCAAGATGATGCACCCGGGCCATGTACCCATTGGCTGCGCCTACTCACGGGCAGTTGGTGCAGTGTTCAGCCTTGCGCGCGGGGTTGTCGCGGTGTGGGACGCCGAGACACTGCTGGCGCGAAGAGAGATCGAGGTGCCAGTGGATGTCGAGCACGTAACAGTGCTGTCGGACGGCGGAGGGGTACTGGTCTGGGGTGGCGACGAGGTGTATGCGTACGATGTGGCGAGCGGGGCGCAGTTGCTGAAGATCTCGCCCGGGCTCGATGTGCTAGCAGCGCCCGGTGACGTTGGGAGCAGCCAGGCGGCTGCGGCGTCAGAAAGCGCAATGATAGTTGTGGCGTCGGCCAACTCGCTTTTGATGAGACCGCGTGGAGCGAGGGCTGTACTTGAGCTGCCGTACATCGAGGACCGGGTGGAGAGCGCCCGGCGGTCGATGATTAATCTTGCCGAGGCGCAGGAGCGATGGAACGCCGCGGTTGTTGCCCACCAGATGGAGGCGACCACATACGATTACTGCTTGGCCAAGCACGAGGAGCTTGTGCAGGAGTTTATGGTGTATCTCGGAACTGGGGCGTAGCCAAGTGTGGATGCTCGGGCGTGGCCACGGCCCAGCCAAACAACGCAGGGCATGTGATGCGCAAGTGGCTGGGACTGCTTCTCCAAACGGTGTAAACAGAGTCTCCTTACTCCATGTGCGGGTAGCGCCAGTCGTCGAGCGGAAGGTAGTTCTCCTTGATGGTACGGGCAGAGACCCAGCGGAGGAGGTTGAGGGCGGAGCCCGCCTTGTCGTTGGTCCCCGAGGCGCGAGCGCCACCAAAGGGCTGGGCGCCGACGACAGCGCCAGTCGACTTGTCGTTGACGTAAAAGTTGCCTGCGGCGTCCTTGAGGGCGGCGTCGGCAGTGAGCAGGGCGTCGGCGTCGCGGGCAAAGACAGCGCCGGTGAGGGCGTACGGCGAGGTCGAGGCGCAGACCTCGAGCGTCTCCTCAAACTTGTCGTCGTCGTAGACGTAGGCGGTGAGAACCGGGCCGAAGATCTCCTCCTCCATGGTGAGGAAGTGCGGGTCGGTAGTGTGGATGAGGGTCGGCTCGACAAAGTAGCCCTCCGAGTCGTCGGCAGAACCACCGGCAAGGACCTCGGCATCCGGCGCGGCGGCGGCAGCAGCAAGGTAGCGCGAGATGTTGTCAAAGGAGGACTTGTCGATTACGGCGGTCATAAAGGCGTCAAACTCGTAAGGCTGACCGACCTTGATGTTGGCCATCTCGGCGACCAGCGAGTCGCGGACCTCGTCCCAGAGTGAGGCCGGAACGTACAGCCGCGACGTCGCGGAGCACTTTTGGCCCTGGTACTCAAAGGCACCGCGGAGAGTGTTGTTGACGGCGGAGCGAACGTCGGCCGAGGCGTGGAGGAAGTGGAAGTTCTTGCCGCCGGTCTCGCCGACCACGCGTGGGTAGCCCACGTACTTGCCGTAGTTCGAGGTGATGGCGTGCGAGAGCGAGTTGAAGGTCTCGGTCGAGCCGGTAAAGTGCAGGCCCCCAAGGTGTGGCGAGTTGAGGCAGGTGTCACCGATGACCGGGCCCGAGCCCGGAACAAAGTTGATGACGCCGTCGGGGAGGCCAGCCTCGCGGAGGATGTTGTACACGTAGTAGTTGCCAAGCGCCGCCGTCGAGGCCGGCTTCCACACCACCGTGTTGCCCATCATGGCCGGAGCGGTGCAGAGGTTGGCGCCGATGGCACAAAAGTTGAACGGCGAGACGGCGAGGACAAAGCCCTCGAGCGGGCGGTACTCGGACCGGTTCCAGTTGCCCGGTGCGTTCTGCGGTGGCTGCATGGCGTAGATGTCCTCGGCAAAGGCCGTGTTGAAGCGGAAAAAGTCAATAGTCTCCACAGCGGCGTCGATCTCGGCCTGCCACACGTTCTTGCCCGTCCCGAGCATGACCGTGGCGCACATCTTGGCCCGGTGCTTGGAGGCAACGAGGTCTGCGGCCTTGCGGAAGATGGCAAAGCGGGCCTCTGCCGGCATCGCCGCCCACTCTGCCCGGGCCTCGAGCGAGGCATCGATGGCAGCCTGGACAGTCTCCTGCGAGGCGCGATGGACGCGAGCGAGAACATGCGAGTGGCGGGTGGGCATGACCTGCTCCACCACATCGCCAGTGTACACCTCCTCGCCGTTGACCACGCAGGGGATGTCGACCACCTCGCCAGAGACCTCTGTCAGCGCCTCAGCAAGTGCCGCACGCTCCGGCGAGCCAGGCGCATAGTTGAGCATCGGCTCCGATGGCGGCTTAGGGAGCGAGAACGTGCCGAGCGAGCCGTATGCCCGGGTCCTGATTCGAAGACGGGAAGTGATGTGAGTGGAGCGAGGAGGTGGGGACGGGGAGGAGGGGGGGGGAGGGAGGGAAGGAGGAGGGGGGGGGCGGTACATAGGGGTGAGCACAGCAGAGATACGAGTGCGCAGCATAGTGTGTATGTAGTAAAGTGTGCGAGGTGGTACTGCTAGCCGCTTTCGATGGGTAACTAGCCTGGTAAGGGGGCCAAGGTGACTCTGCTGATTCGAGTCTGTTGGTCCTGTCATGCTCCGTGGGCTGGCCACACGTTGGC